ACCATGAAAAAAAGCATGACTAGCTCAAAGTAAATATATTGCCACTATGCTAAAAACAAGTGAACGTGTCTCTCAAAACCATCCCTGCATATGAAGGACAACACAGTGTACAGCCGGCACTGTACAAATGGAATTGGAGGAACACACATGGCACACACTTTCTCTTATACACACTCTCATAACCATGGTTTTCTACTAACAGTCGAAACTGGTCTCACAGTACACGCTGGGAAGCAGGATGTTGTCTTCATATACCATTTAAAACTGTGCATTTTATATCTGGTGTAAAACTGCCACCATAAATTTCAGGCTGATTATGAAGTAAGCACATGGGCAGAAACCAAAAGAAGTTAATTTATCTTACAGACACATAATTTGGCAAATAGATTTTAAGATTCAGTTAATGAATTCCAAAGGTCTTTTAAAGTAAGATACTGAAGAGTAAAAGACTAGGTAGTCATGGTTCTTTCTCTCTAGATTGTCTAAACATATTAGGATGTATGATATACAATAAAAAACACATCTTATATATAAAATAATATATCATGCTGCCTAAACTAGGGAAGGACTGCATATGACAATCTTCTGAAATGGGAGAGTTTTGAGTTGGGTTGTATTTAATATGTGAATGGAAGATTTTTTAAACAAGAATTGAAAGAGGAAATATCAGGAATGCCATAATTTCTCAGAAGGATTTAGGCCTGGTTTGGGTCACAGGATTGAAAGATCTTTATAATGTATGTTTTAAAATTCTGTCTTCCACTGATTCTCCCCGTATGATCAATTTTCCCCAAATACAGCTACACGATGCTGCCACACCTCAGATTTCTGTGATGGGTTATGATAGATTATGAAAGAAGCCAAGGGAGAGACCAGCTAAAAGCAAGAGATAAGAGAAGGAAGCTAGGAGCCAGGACTGAAATTAAATATTTTAGGACATCTTAGCAAGATTTTACCATGAAGTCAAACAAGGAGTGGAACTCGGCCTGCCAATACTCTCAGACTACTTGCTTCTTGTCATATGCCAGGATACAAGAAAACAGTATTAGAAAGACCAGACAGTTGGGACTATTGGGACTAACTCTATTCCTTGATGCCTGACCTTTTTATTCCACACCTTTAAATGTGGTTTACTCTTTCCTCAGTGCACTACAGTAAGACAGCCTCCAGAAAGCAAGTTGGCATACTCTCATTTGCCAGGTTCTCCCAGTTTTTGTGAATTTGGCCCAAATGAACAGAGTGTAGAATTGTAATTTAAATAAAACTCAAAACTTACCTGGCATAGATTTAATAAGTGACAATATGTTAATAAATGACAGTATGTTTACCAAATATAAAGAACAAGTAGTTCATTTATATGACTATAATTAGTATGATCTTTAGTACAGTCAAGCCAAGTATTTTGGGGGCTCAATTGAAAAGAAGAAAATGAATGGAACAGGATGGGAAGTTTGCGAGCTGGTCTGATCATCCCTGGACTTTTGGCCACTGGGGTGCAGGGAACAGATCGGGGAGAGCCCGGGCTGCTGAGCTCCGCCTGCCCCTCACCCTGTTTGGTGCTGGACCTAACACAGAGTCACCCCCAGGCAGTCTAGGACTGGGCGTGTGGGGCTGAGAGAAAAGACAAGGTCAAGAGGAAATGATTTCCACAGCAGAAGGACCCTGGTGGCGGTTCACTGCTGTCACTGGCGTCTCACCACGTGTGAGAATGCCTGACCCAAGAGACAAAGTGGTCAGAGTGACATCAGTTTGCCATGAACTAAAACCCCCTCTTATCTGCCCTAAACAATGTCATCCATAACCCTGTTGCCACCCCTTCCCTATTCCTCCAAAGTCTGAGAATCCTAAAACTTTACTAATGGGGGAGAAAATGATCCAGTCTACTAATGGGAGAATGCTGTGATCAACAACGGTTACAACTACTGGACTGAGTATTTTTCTCTGGTTCTTTTCTCTGGCAGAAGCCTACGATTCTACATGGAGAAAATCCCAACTATCCGAGTTGTCCTGAATTACAGAAGCAGGGTGCTGAGAATGCCTTCCACTTTGCCTGAGTCGGGGGGAAGGAAGGGATCTGGGTCGCTTACACTGCTCTCCTGTCAAGGCTGCTCTTGCTGGAAACTTGACTCACACAGAAAGAATTGTCTAAACCGTGCAACTTAAAAGGAAGGCCTATGGCTCCGAATGTGTTCCCATATTGCCAGAAATTCTGGCATTCACTTGAATTTTGAACAGGCAAAATACACTGAGGAAAAACTGGAGGTGGGAGAGTGATTCTGGGCACTATTTTATGTAAAAAGAATTATTGTGTTAATAGGCCCACATGGGAGGGTTAAGGAAAAAAGTAAAGGGTCATTTTTGAGGAGGGGAGGTGCTAGTGATATGGTTCTAGAGAATCAGAGGGCAGTATGAGGTCACTAGGCCACGGGAAACAAATGGGGAAGATCCATGGTGTATGGACACCAAAGAACGTTTCATTTCTGCAATCTTGCTGAATACTGGCTTTATCCCTTACTAAACCTACAAGTTCCTGCTGCAATTCAAATTCTAGGTCTTCAATGTCATCTATTTCTCTTCTATTTCTAGGAGATAAAATTAGAAAAGAATGATCACAGGATGTGTTGTATGTGTTAGTTAAGGGTTACAATCCACTCACTATGGGGGGCAGTCATGCACAATGCTCTTAACTAGTTTTGGCACAAAGAACAATCAAGATTGATTCTATTCGTTAAGCTTCCAAATGCCTAAGAGAAAGGAAGCAACAGAAGTTTGTTTCATACTAAGTATCCTGGACACCAAACACAAGCATGACAAGGATTGAATACCATTTTTCAAAACATCACTCTACTCTGGCTTTGAGGATGAACTGAATGATAACTCTGGGAAGAGCGGTCATAGTTATCAACTATAGAGGTTTATGCCATAAAATATGAAGTAAGAATACAAACTATTTTTTTTAAACAGGAGCTTACTTCCTTCTCCCTGACATGCAAGCCTCACAGTGCAGCGGTCTTGGGGCTGGACAATTTGCGGGGGGAGTGCAGTGACTTGGATTGGTGGGGGGCAGAAGGCGAGCAGAAGGCCAAGGAAACATTTAAATCACACTGGATTTCTGGACAAGAAAGGAAGCTAAAGGAACGCAGGAAGGGAAGTGAAAGGCCTATTACGAGTAAGGAAACGGTAACCAGTGTTACTGAGGGCTCTATACACCTTGTTTCTTTAAATTCTCAAACAACCTCTGAGGCAGTACCACTATTATTATCCTTGTTCTTCTGATGAGCAAACTAGGGTTTATCTAACAGAAAAGTTAGGGAACTTGATCCCACTCATACACCTAGAAAGTGGTACAGGCAGCAAATCTAAGCCCCCTTATGCGCTTAACCAATAAACTCGAAGAAGAGAACTCAGGAAGCAAACGAGGGAAAAACCAGGTTTTAAGAGCTGGAGCCCGATTCATAAAGATTCAGCCTGTGTGAACTCAACTCCTTTTCCCTTTATGATAGGAGTTCCTTTGTGCTGGTTTGAAATTCAGCGTTATGTCTGAACTGCACTTAGGCTGAGTGCTAGTGGGTGATGGACAAGAAAGGGTTCTCCTGGAGGAAAGTGAGAGTGGGAGTCTTCTTCACTACAGCTGGGTGGTGGCTGAGAGAGCAGTGACAAGGCGGGCACGGGACGGCGCGTGTTCCTGCAGCCCTTGGGCTGGGTAGAATGAACCTATCTGTTAAAACACATACGACTTCTTGGTTTTACATTCAGAGCTTTTTGTGGGAGGAAAGGGAATGTAGAGAAGAGTTTGTTAGGAAAAAAAAAATGGAAATGGTTTTCTAGTGGAAGGAACAGTTAAAATAATTTATTCGAACTTCCTTCCCATTCTCTCTCAAGTGAATGATGTTTCTATGGACATACTATATTGAATATTTTAGTACAGTGAAACATGCAGTAGATTATAATGTGAAATACTATTGTACCTCAATAGAGTTCTCTTTTTATTGCCCTGTAGAATTAACTAGAAAAACTGTCTCAAGAATAATGGAATAGTTTCCATTCAGAATGGACTTGGGTATAATATTTCAAAGACAGAAAAAAATCACTTGAAAAAAATTTTTAAAATCTAGATCAAGAGTTTTCTCTAGTGGACAATTATGTGAAATACTTTTCTGAATATAAGAATTATGTTTAACAAAACACAAAAAATAAGACCTATAAAAATTTCCCTGGTTGAAAAACCAGGGCTATGTAGAACATTTGCATTTGAATCCATTTTATTTTCCAGTTTCTAGAAAGGTTAAATGTTCGACATGACAAGGATTTTTATGCCATTTAATGTGGAATAGAGAGAATGCATACATCTGGTATTTCAGTAAAGAGAATGAATGATATACATTAGGGACTTCTAAGTTATCAAATGGATAGAATTAATTTAGGAGAGAAAATGGTAGTGCAGTCAATTTATAGTGCATGTAGCACATATGTTAACGAAAATCACTTTCCACATTACAGGTGAAATTCTGTCAGCATTAAAAACTGATTTGTACTCAGTTATTATGCCACAATAAAATCTATTGAAAGATTTAATAAAACATATCACTTTTTTCTGATTTTACCACCAGAAGTTTACTTCTGAGAAATAAAATAGCAAAGTGCCGAAAAGGGGAATGTCAAATAGAAATCACCATGAAAAATAAAAATGAGCATTTCATATACATATCTACATAGTGACAATAATCAAATAAACATTCCAGTCTTCAGAATTGTTGCAAAGAAAGGAAATACAGATGCTCTGATGGCCAAAGCATTTTTCAAAGTACATTTTCACTTTCTGATGTTTAATAAAGATAAACTCTTCATTATATTTCAGGCAAGAAAGAAGCTAATTTTGTCTCATAAATTACCAGGTGTGATATTTCTAAAACTGACTGCATTATTAGGCAAAATTCTTCAATTCAATTCACTGATGTCTTTTACTGAAGGATGCATTGGTTTGAAAATCAAAGACTTACGTCATCCAAAAAATCAATCAGTGAAGATGAGGAAGAAGAAAAGGAATCCTATTTAACGAATACAGCAATAAAAAATAGAAAATATGGATGAAGCAATTTAATACGAACAAATAATAAATAAAAAATTTTGTAAAACAATTGAAAGGCAAATGACATTAATTCAAATAAATAAATGAGAAAAGCAGTCATTGGCATCATTTCTCAAGAAACTTAGAAATCCATTAATTTTTAAAGCGTGGTTCTTTTTCCCTTTCCTAAAGAAATGAAATACAATGCACACATTGTGCCCAAAATGTAATAAAATGAAGCACATGGTAAATCATTAATAATCAAATTAAATGAAGCACTTTAGAAGGGTCACAATGAAAAGTGAGCAGTTCCCAATGGAATGTAACCTCTCTGAGAACAGGACTTGGTGAACTGGGTCACTACTCTATCTCCAGCACCTAGAACAGTGCTCTGCACAGAGACTTGTGATTATTTGTTTAATAAAGATATAATCACTAAATCTTCTGAGACAAAAATATACTTTATATCATAAAATTGTTTTTTTTTTTCAGCAAAGAATTTAAGCACCAAAGAAGGACAGTCATAGAGTCACTATTTCATTATTACGGAATATACTGCCTAATACATTCTGTGTAATACTTTTAACAAAAAGTATTCCTATTGTTAACTTCTAAAATAATTGAACGGATTTGAAGCTAGACCCAGCACTGCCCTATTGTGAGCTCTGACCTTTTCCACTTTTTTTTTTTTTTTTATTGTGGCTCTGTGCTTGGGAGAAAAAAGAAAAGTGTCAAAATTCTTTCAAGAGTTTGGATTTGTTCTGCATTTACTGTTTCTCAGGGGAAGAGACAAAATTTCTTTTAAATCTTATGACTCACATTTTGACCTTTCTTAGATTTTTCTTAAATACAAATGTGATTACAGTTTCCATAAGAATGCAGAACATGGAGTGCCTGGGTGGCTCAGTCGTTAAGTGTCTGCCTTTGGCTCAGGTCATGACTGATCCCAGGGTCCTGGGATGCAGCCCAGCCCGTATTGGGCTCCCTGCTCCGCGGGGAGCCTGCTTTTCCCTCTCCCACTCCCCCTGCTTGTGTTCCCTCTCTAGCTGTGTTTCTCTCTGTCAAATAAATAATCTTTAAAAAATGCAGAACATACTCTTCTCTTAACATGTTTTTTGTTTATATAAAATTCTAGGTCCTCTTATGTGGGAGGCAATAAAACAGTTTCATTGCAAATGAATTTTAAGTTACAAAGTGAATTTTAAATGGACCGCAGGGAATACTTGAAAAGTTTAATACTTACTTCAAATTGATCCAGAGCATCGGTAGGCGTATTCAAAAATGCCAAGAAAGAATGCTGTGAGTCTTGGTGCTCTATACCTAGAAGACAGCAGCAACTTTTTTTAAAACTAGAACAATTTAAACTAATTTTCATGGATAACCATTCCTGTCTGAATCTATTAAGAGCTGTTCACAAACCACCATATTTTAAAGCTGATCAATACTTTTAACTCTACATACTTAAAAAACTATAGTAGTGTTTCTTGGAATATCACTTAACAGTTACATCAGTCTCCATGACATACTTGCTTCCTGACTTGAGGTCTTGAATTTCTTTCTTTTCCCACATAGTGCATCAGAAGAAACACATTACATCTTGGTAGACTTGGGAGAATTTTAAAAACATGGTTATATCTGATTTTTCTAAGCTAATTTATCACCAAACAAGGTTTCTGTTTTGAAAAACTTTTAGCAAACATATAGTAAGCATTAATATAAATAATCTCTTATGATAATGTCGTGATAAAACAAATGTATTTAGTTATGAAAAAACTTTTGTCAAGGCCTCAGTCTGATGTCAGGTATTGTTTTATTGACAGAATAAATCACTCATACCCTAGTTTTTCTCAGATGAAGTTACAAAAGCTGGTGCATATTTGTTAGGAATGGCATTAACTTCAAAGGCATAATTTCCAAAATAATTCTTAAAATTTACATACAATGATAAATACTAGGAAGGAAAAAAGCAGAAACAACCAAGCACACATTTTCAACTTCCACATCCTTAGGAAGTGACATTAACTAATTTGTGTGGCTTTCCTCCTACTCTAAATAACTAACACCTTGGATGCCAGAGGAGGCACTATGTTCAGAAATTCATCCAGTCAATAAATGTTTATTGAGAGCCTTGTGCCAAACCTTGTCTAGATACCAGGACATATTAGTAAATGAGCAGAAAAAAAATCCTTGCCCTCATTGTATTATATAAATACTACATTATAGTATTTAAGTAGTATAGTACATTATGTTACAACACAAAGTGAAATTTTATTATCTACAACGTTAAATCCAAATAAAAGCTATAGGTTAACATGCTTTCATAAAGCAATGTGATAAACTTAAGTTATTTCTTCTGCAAGTTTAGATCGATTCTAAAAATGATGCATCTAGTGACATGAGGCATGTCATAGTCAGTCACACTCTGCACTGGTCTCTCTTCTGTATAAACTGCCTTTAGGGCTACAGATCCTCCAGCTCCTATATATTCTTTTTCCTCTACTCACTGAATAATGCAGCTCCCTTCCACTCTTCATGTTTGAAAACTGCTTGATTTTCAATTTAGTGTGAAGCCTTGGGCTCAGTGTGAGTTCCTAATTCACTTTTGCTGTTCCTTCCTTTCCTGTTCACTAGGAAATTGAACCGACAAAAATTTTTTGAACATCTACTACTTTTAGTGGTTTTTCATGTCAACTCCTTTACGTGATACCCTCTCTTTCCGCCACAATTTTATTTTATTTTTTTCTCCACAATCTTAAAAGCAGATACAGAGACCCAACCAGCTTGACATCACTCTGTGTCACAGGACTGAGAAATTATAGGGAAGCATCACATAATGTACGCATAACATAAAGCCATTAATTAGTTCACTATTCAGTCAGGAATACTGACTTTGTCAGGACAATGAATTTATTTATTTATTTTTAAAAGTAGGTTCCACATCCAGCGTGGAGCCCAAGGCAGGGCTTGAACTCATGACCGTGAGATCAAGAGACAGATGCTCAACTGACTGAGCCACCAAGGTGCCCCAAGACAAAGAATTTCTAATAACTGCATATAAGAGATCCCTTCATTGAGAAAACAACATTCTGAATTTGTTTTTATTAAATCTTCACATTCTTAATGCCCACACTATGGAAAAAAGTTTAAGTAAAGTTCCTGTAATAGCTGCCATGCACTCTGAGTTACTTTTCACGTTAATGGAAACATGCTCAGGTAATGCTTTCAAGAAAATGGGAATAAATCCTGAGAAATCCCACAGGGTAAGCAGTTTTAAGAATAAACGTGGAAGAAAACAATGAAATGCCAGAACAGTTCATCACTGAATTGCTTTCTAATATGGGATTAGATTAATCTTTAGTTACTTCATACATTGTTTCCTCAACTACCCTGGAAGTAAATCCTATGACACTTGAAAAGAGTATAAAGTACACTATAAAAAGTATTTTTCCCCCCAATCACAAAAATCTTATTTGTGAAATCAGCCACGGCACTGAAAAAACAGTCCAATTTATGACAAAGTGAGTTTTTCTGCTACCATGAAATCTTTAAACCATGTATGTTAAGTACAACAAAATGACTGAAACCAGTCTAGCGAGTGTGTGTGTCAAATATGCGTACATATATCCATCAGTGACCACCAGCGTGCTTAGTGTGAACAATTCTCTGACCTACACACGTACGTGGATTCTTGGGTAATAAAATACATTCACAACAGAATAAGCCCTGATTGATGCAAAACACATTCTCATACCCTTTTCAGATCTAAGCTCTTCAGTGTCCTTTATCAGTTGTTCGATTTCTGAGAGTAGCTCCAAGTTCTTCTTCTCTGAATCTTTTAGTTTACTTCAATAAGGGGAAAAAAAAAGGAAAAATGTCATTATTTTTACTGCTGGTGAGCCATCCTACAGTACGTAGTTGGAACTTCCTGGTTTAAATGTCAGTCACGTCAAGTCAGGGAAGTGCAAAGCCACTGCAGGAAAGACAAATCCCGCCGATCATCTACTGTTATATAAATAAAATTTCACTGCAACACAGCCAGACTCATTCATTCACAGACCGTCTCTGGCTGCTTTCACACAATAGCGCAGTTGACTAGCCAGAGGCAATATGGCCCACAAAGCCGAAAATATTTAGTATCTGGCCTTTTGTAGAAAAAGATGCTGACCTGGAGCTAAATGATTAGATTTTAAAATGTCATAAAATCAAAGGTTAATTTAGGATTTTGTTAGACTCTTCCACAGAGAACCATGAAAGTGGAGCATTGTTATGAGTACATCTGTAGTTTCCAGTTTCATTCAGTCTGGTTTATGAGCAAATGTGCAAACGCCTGTGTCCCAGGCACGGGAAGGCAGCTCATGTTCGTTCTACTTATGACACAGAGAACGACATTCAGTAGCTCTTTGTGTTAGGATCGACTCACATTCTCCAGAAAATGTTCTCTCAGATTTTCAATGTCATGCTAGCACATTTAAGCAAAGCATACTTAATTTATGTCTGGATTATTTATAACAAGAGTTTATAATTCAGTGGGGTGCCAGGCAACCGCCCTCGAATTGGATTCAAAACATTAACGATTACAGTTTAAGGACTAAGGCTTCACACCATTACAAACTGAAATTTATGGGACTGTATTTCTTTTCATGATTGAATGCCTCTGGAACTCTGCTATTCCAGCACCAAGTGGATTTTTCTATTTATATGTTGATTTGTAACACGGACTTTCTATTGTTCCTCTATATCACCAATACTGACTTATTCTTGAACCATGGTTATGTCCAATCCAATTAAGATTTTCATTTTATCACTTATTTATTCTACTGTTGCGATGAGGACTGAAGGAATGTATTTATCCAGTAATTGTCTCAGACTGTGGAGGATATACTTGTTTTAAAACATAAAAGAACATGAAGAAACAATTATAGAGAACCTTCATTTGTAAAAGATCTATGGTAGAGGCCAGAATTCCCAGATGACTATATTTTGTTCTGAATATATGTTGCATTTTTATACTAACATGATACTCTTGACAGGAGAGAATTTTGGATTTAATGGAACAGAATTTGAGAGTTAACTAAACTTTACAAGTAAGGGGAAAAATAAATAAAATACTAATTAGCACTATTAATTCTACTTTATGGACAAGTCAGAGGACTAGGCTTTCAGCTAGTCTGTTTTCTAAATACAGACAAGGTTGTATTAAAATCCCATCACTGCATACAAGGCTTGAAAGCATTTATTCATTTTCAAATATTCATAAATTTTTCTGGTCATTACTCAAAAGAAAAAAGTGATAGGTATGAACTAAACAAGTAACTTCTCCCCAAATACTTTTGGACCAACTTAGAAATTATTCTAGTAAACTCTATCATTCAACCTTACCATTCTGTGATGATGTTAGCTGCTTTAACTTTATTCAGCTCTTCTTGGATGGCCTGCTTAGCTCTTATTTCTGCATCCAGGGCTGACTGCAACTCCAGCCTAGCTGACATATCCAGTTTTGCAAAACGACGCATTTTCCAGGGCATATCCTTCCAAATAATATGACTGTTGTTAGCCCGATCCTATTTTTTCCTTAACATTTAAATTCAGTAATGCAAGTAAATTTAGAAACTACATAAAGCACTCTCTTTCTCTGACAACATGTATGAAACACTGCTTCTGAAATTATATTATTTCCCATTAAATTCAGAAATAATTGTGGAACCACACGTAAGGAGTTTATTTTCCATACTTATTACCCATAACGGATACCTATACAAAATTACAGTTAAGCAGTGATGTGTTATGATTTCCTAAACTGGCAAAGACTTAGACTAAGTGAATTCTCAAGAAAAACTTTATAGTGAGCTAAAGCCTAGACAAACTGATAGAAGTGCTCAGATTTATTATAGTGTGTTTGAGCCTCCCCTCCCACCCCGTATGATAATTCTCCATGCAAAACGGCAGAGCTTACTGTTGCTCGGGCACCCAAGCTGGAATTTCTCAAAGCTTCCAACTCTTCTGTCATTTTAGAAGCTAAGGCCTGGAGATACCCTCGTGCATCCTTTTCATCACTGACCCTGGAATACATACACATACAGACAAAGGACAAAAGTAACACAAACAGAAAAACTTCAGTGTGAGAGATATATTGTTTTTAAAGCCTCATACAAGAAATAAGTGAAATAAATGTCTTCTTTCAAAAGATCTACCACAGTACTACTGCCTGACAATAAGTGGGAAGAGGTTTACTGAACTGTTTCAGTTATCTATGAATTAAAGCTGGTCATGCTTAGGAAAGTTCAAATTACTGTATCTGATAAATTAGTAAAATTTCACCCTTGAACCACAGAGTATTCTTTTAATCTAACATTAAAAACACACATATTTACATGATTTCTAAAGAATATTAAGATTTCTAATTGGGTTCTGCCATTTTATCTTACGAAAACAAAATGCATCAGTTTTAAAACTGAAGTACCCTATATTTAGAAAGTTTAAAGTAAAATAGTCTGCAAAAATCAGGGCTGTACTGCAATAAAGCTCCTCTGTTTTCTAAAATGGTCAATAAAATACCAATCAAAAGGAAAAGATTAAAGTCTACTGAAGCTCATAACTGTCTTAAGACTATCTTGCTGATGTAACTATTATGATTCTACAAAAATGTTTTCAAATTCCATTCAATGACACACATTCTAAATTTCAGAATTTGTCTAAGAGAAAGTTTGTGTTTTGTTACGTCTTCAAAACAAGGGTAAGGCTAGGGTAAGGACTGCCAGCATATGACAATCCACAGCAGAAGGTCCTATCCCCAAGAAAAATGAAAACAATTAGTATACAGAAAGCTATAATTGGCACAAATTAAAAAAAAGGAGTTGAAATTTGTAGTGCTTAGAAGTGTATTCTAATATCCTCTGGGGAACACCATTTGCCTTTCGGAAGGCTGGCTGTTTTCATAAATACAATTCAGGCCACGGAAGAGTAATGAGAAAAGCATATTTCAGGTAAATCAATAAGTATCTGATGCATATAGCAAACTGAAATCTTGAACTTAGCTTTAGCATCTTTTAGAATTTAAACTCCTGAGGAGCCAAATTCATATATTTCTATCTATATATCTTAAAGAGGCCCTTTAAAAGGCATTTGGTTCTCTTTTCTCTCAGATGGGAAGGTGTACTGGAGGACAAGCAAAAGAATCTAACAATAAAAGCGATCCAATCATTATAAAAAGTTGCCCAGCCTAGTTCGTTACATATTTTTAGGCTCTATATACATGTATATATTTTTATTGCCTTTTAAGGGAAAATGGCTTTAGAAAATATTGTTTGTGTAGTGGGAGGCGTTTCCTTTAAAATTCCTTTAAAATTCTTTAACTTTGGACACCACACATGACCACGACCTTTTGATTTAATCATCTGATCTACAGTATAAAGAATAAGTGAAGATGAAGGAAGATTACCTTTTTTTTTAGAGTACCAAGAAAGACACTTAAGAAAACTGTATTATCATTTAAAGGGCCAGGCTAATCAGCCTCAACCAGCATTGCTTTAGTGCCTATCTACCCCAGCGATCTCGGCTTATGCACATTCCAGCCTGCTTCCGTAACTCTGGAAAGCAATAAATTCTTGTACATGCCTTTCACGCTGTTTAACGTTTCAAATAAAAACCAATCTCTACCTCTGAAACAAATAATACATTATATGTTAAAAAAAAAAGAAGAAGAAGATGATAGCAGGAAGGGAAGAATGAAGAGTGGGAAATCAGAGGAGGAGACGAACCATGACAGACTATAGACTCCGAGAAAGAAACAGAGTTCGAGTTCTAAAGGGGAGGGGGTGGGGAGATGGGTTACCCTGGTGATGGGTATTAAAGAGGGCACATAATGCATGGAGCACTGGGTGTTATGCACAAACAATGAATCATGGAACACTACATCAAAAACTAATGATGTAATGTATGGTGACTAACATAACATAATAAAAAAATAAATAAAATGGAAAAAAATAAAAAAAATAAAAACCAATCTCTTGTAATTTTCATTTTATTTGCATGTTGAATATGTTCACATTCCCTGACCCATGTGGTCTCCCGCTAAGTCTCAATTTTTTATTAAAGCTATGTCTATTTTCTTGGCTACAGAGAATTAATGAAGGGAAGGGTTTTAAAAGAAAAAAAAAAGACTGGGTCAGTTACAAACTCCTGCCATTTAAATTCCACTGGGCCCTGGTCTCCTACAATTCCTTTTTAGAATCATTGCTATTTGTCTGTTTCCAACCTTGATCCTTGAAGTCTCACTTCCACCGACCAACACTGTCTTGCCCTTTTCTTCTAGGCCATCTGGATAAGCCAACTCATGCCCATTTTAACTTTTTTTTTTTTTTTTAAGTTTTAGAGGCAAGTAAGTCCCTAATCTTTTCTTTGGCCAAGTCATTTAAATGTATTCCTCATCCCACATATATACAAATAATTACCTTCTTTGAAAACAGCTTATGTTTTCAATTTCATCACTTCCACTGGCTGCTGTAAACATATACAGATGTTTTCTAATCCAGAAAGGTTCCTGTCCCAATCCCTCTCCCTGTCGTTGTGATACAACCTGTATCTAATTACTCTAGTATTTAACCCCTCACTAACTCGTACATACTTTCTGAGGTCTGATTTCTACCTCAACTATTTTGCTGAAACCACAGTTCATTCAAGTGACAAGTTAACTATAAAAGGCCAATTTCAATCTCTTTTGTTCTTCTGTCATAGCTAAATCCTCTACTCCCAAGCTCTTTCAAGTAATTAATTTAGAAATACTTATTAATACTGACTATTATGTAGGGCATAATAGTCAGAGAAAATCTAGAAGATAGTCCTTAAAACGTCAGGGAGGTAGGACATACACAGTAGAGTGACTAAGAACTTTGATTCTTGAGTCAAACAGACCTTGGTTCAAATCCTAACTCGCTGCTCACCAGCTCTAGGACTTGGGCTAAGTCATTTACCCACTTCTAGCTCTCTGCTATCTCACCTACAAAGTGGGGATAATAATCATACCTCATACGACTGTTGTAATAACTAAATGAGAATCCTGTACAAGTGAATTTTCAGCCCAAGCCTGGAACATACTATGTTGTAATCAGTATAAGCTACGATTATCCACAAATGAGGATTAATGAATGAGGAATAGTTCAAATAATGTGAGGGAATTTAAATAAAGGGAAATAAAAGTGTTCTTATTGAGACTCTTTGCTGATTATGAAAACACTTTCCTGGCTGCCCTCTACCTTCTATATGCTGCCCTCACCATATTATCCTTCTTTCTTTCCTCCTTAAAAAGATCTCAACAACTTCAATGGCTTTATTGACTAGGAAGTAAATCCCCAAATTTATATGCTTTACCCTAACCTCTCTGTAATCTTTTCAAAAGCATATTGGAACTCTGTACCCAGATGTCTCAGGAGGAGCCCAGACTCACCAACAAGCAAAATAACACAAACAAAATTGATTATATCTTCCCCAAAGTTGGTTCCTTCTCTGACTTTCCTACTTCAGTGATATCATCATTTTCTTAATCTAACTCAGAATTTCAGAAAAACGAATTCTTCCTCATCTCCTGATCTTCCTTCATAATTAAGTCCTATAGATTCTTCTCACACAATGTTTTCTCCATTTGTTCACTTCTTCCCAAACTTCCCTCCACTTCACCCTGAACGCCACTGTAGAGAGTTGTCTTCCTAATGCATCATCCAATCAATACCATTATCCTTTGCAAAAACCCTCTCCTTCTTATAAATAAATAAAGTTTAAATTCTTACCCAATATTCATGGTAACTATACAGTAGTAACTTTACTAGTCTTATTTCCTACTATTGTTTTATATGAAATCTCCAATTCAGCCAACCTATGTATAGGACCCTTTATAATCTCAGGGTTTTCAGAAAATGCATTATAGGTTCAAAGGATTATCCTCAACTTTCTCAAGCACCCAGTCTGAGGCAACTCTCCTCTACGCTCCCATAGGAAAATCAGTATTGTGTACTACACAGGGCAACTTACATTTAGGTTTTATAACTAATCTCCAGATCTGGTCACATTAGTTTTTAAACTTTTCAATGATACGTGAAAAGTGGCTTAATGGCAAAGTACTATAGTTTATAGGCCATCCTACCTTGAATTATACCAGAAAAGTGCATTAGATGTGAGGAGAAGCATTTTTTTTTTTTTTTTTGGTGTGTGTTTATTTATTTATTTAATTATGTTATGTTATCACCATACAGTACATCATTAGTTTCTGATGTAGTGTTCCATGATTCATTGTTTGCGATTTTAAAAATCACTCTTATGGACTAGCTTACGATTCTGACCTTTCATTGTCATGTCATTTCAAAGAAAAAGTGAAGTATTCTGATGAGTCAATGGTGAGAAGAAAGGCCTCTGCTCTAACACAGTGAGGAGCAACAAGGTCTCCCTTCCCTAAAAGGTATTCTTTCATATGAAAGGGATATTTCATAGGAAAAGGCAGAGGGAGCCAAGTAAGATGACCATTAGCAATGCATCCAAGTAAGATCTTATTTACAATAGTGCTTGTTCTGTTTTAAAACTGTTACTTTGTCCAAAGGAAACATTTAAAATACTATATATCACAAGTTCCTAAAACCTTGTCTTGGCATCATTTCATTTTTTAAAGTTTAAACTTAAATTCTAGTTTGTAAACATACAGAGTAATACTAGTTTTGGGTATACAACATAGTGATTCAACAATTCCATATGACAACCAGTGCTCATCCTGGTAAGTGCACTCCATAATCCCCATCACTTATTTCACTCAGCCCCCCCACCCACCTCCCCTCTGGTAACCATCAGTTTGTTCTCTATAGGTAAGAGTCTGTTTCTTGGTTTGCCTCTCTTTTTTTCCTTTTGCTTATTTTGTTTCTTAAATTCCACATACTAGTGAAATCACAGAGTATTGGTCTCTTACTGACTTATTTTACTTAGCAAAATACACTCTAGCTCCATCCATATTGTTGTAAATGGCAAGATTTCATTCTGTTTTATGGCTGGGTAATATTCCATTGCATATACATATATACCA